TTGATGTCATTTGTGTCCTAGCCAACCACCACCTGGTGGTCTCTTAGATCTTGAATCTGTTCTAGAAACAAATATTGCTGTAAAATCTCAGCAGGACAGGTTTTTATTTTTAGGTTTTCCACACATTTATACAGATGTTAGGGGTAGAAATAACAAACATTTCTCATTGAATAAACACTAAAAAAAATCAAGTTTAAAAAACGATATTAAAGGTTCCTGATCTAAATAAAGGAAACACAGAGCCAATCGTTTCCACATCATTATATATTTTAAAAGTCTTTCAGGAAATTTTCCAACCGTTGTAATCTATTAATTGTGGAGGACCAGATAATAAAACTACACCAATCACAGTATCTCATTATCTATGCAAATAAATTCCCTAATACCAGCAGATGAATATATTTACACACTTTTAAACAAGCTGTGTTTGTACATGCATTGAAATCCTCTGATCTCTGACATCAGCAACGGATCACATGGAGTTTCTCAGCATTTAGAGCAAATTATCATTTCATTTTCATATAACAGACCAAAAAGTCTTTCAGAATTTAGTTTTAGATGGCCTCAATGCATTACCAGGAAAAAATTATCAGTAGGTCAGTTTTTCTATTTGTTTTCCTACTCGTCTATAAATCTTTATTTAATTCAGAAGCACAGATTTTGGGAAAACTGGTAACAATAAAGCATGTATTAAGATGAAAGCAGGCTGGAATTACTGAATGTCATCTTTAAAAACACTCAGTCATGTCAAGCTTAGTTGCCGATCGTTCCTTGTCTCTTTCCTTGCCAAGTTGTTATATCACCCACTACCTTTAAAAGTGATTTCAGACCAACTTTTACCAACTTTTGAGTCCATTGGAAATTACGGGGATCAAACTTCTCCTCAGCATCTAAGACTGAACCTCAAAATGCAGCTTAAATGCTTCAGAATCAACATAGAAACCTGACTAAAGTTGCATGTTTTCCATTGCATTTAATGTTAACAGCTACCAGCTCCGTTCCTGTGCCTTCTGTTGCGTACGGTTTTATTAGGATTTATCCTCCACTTTTGAAAACAACATTCTGTGAAATCCTGAAATGTCAGTCCACCTTTCATCATCCAGCAGTATTTTAACTTCACTGATCTCTGAGGCTAATGAGACCTAGTCAATAAAACAACTGATGCTCATTGGATATCTGTTTTTCAGATCCATACTCCTTCTCGTTGTCCTCCTACTTATCCAGAGTTGCTTCTGAACAGTCCCCCCCAACCACTACATAGAACACTATATCGGCTTATCTCTAAGGCAGTGTTTTCCCATCGCAAAGAAAATTTGGTTTCAGTTGTCTTTCGATCATGGGTCAGATTTCAAAACCATATGAAAGAGTAAAAGCTCTTCCTCTTTACAAGTGCCGCTTATTGACCAAAACTTTTCCTGTTGAAGGAGTCGTCAAAGTGTGTTGTCCAGGGCTAAATGCTAAAACTGCTTGGCACGGTCTCCAGTGGCAAACTGGACGAAGGATTCAGATGTCTGCATGGCAAAGACGACTATGAGGCTTGACTCTGTCCGGGGTGGAGGAACTCCAGGTTCACCCAGGAGACAGGCCTGAGGTCAGAGTTCATGGAAATCTGCTGCGGATTTCCATGGTGGAAACAGCACTTTGATGATTTATATCTTTGTAAAAATGGAACATTGATTTCAATTTAGCGCAAAGTGTTTTCTTTAAGTAATTGACCTAAAGGGGCTTTCAGACAGGATGCACCATGCACAACACTGGACTCTAAAATCCATGACTTTCAATGGTATGTCAGAAGGAGTATTTCAGAAGTGCTTTGTCAAGCAAACAAGAGAAGTCCTGTGCACGCCGTGGTCAAAGTTCAAATATGTGCAACTTTGACCACGGCATGCAGTCAACAGAAAGAGGCAAGTGCAGGGAACACCATGTCCTGTCTGAATGAACCCCCTTGTCACACCATGATGATTTAGCCAGCGTATGCCTGACATAAAAAAAATCTGGCAAAAAACGCTGGCATATGTTCGATAAGTTCATCCCCATCATAGGGGGATGATGGGGAGTGTGATGGATCCTCCCTGCGTTCACGCCCACAGCCATGACCAAAAAGTTCCTAGCTGACATGATGTTGAATCTGCTGTGACTGCAAACCTGCAAACCTCCTTTACGTTTCTTTTCTACCGCGCGCCCGCAAACAACAGCTAGGTTAATACCACAATCAAAGACATCTTTTTATGCAGGCCGGGTGGCTCCGGCCGCATCGCTGCACCCCTCAGGTCACTGGCTTGTGAATCATTTCATGGGCATTACGCTGCCGTGCATTATGCATAAGTTAGGCTCTCGTTGGATATGAATACTCTAAAAAAAAATAAAAATACATAGAAGTTCAGCTAAGCCAGCCTTTTAGGAGTTTCTGGGATGTCAGACATACACCTGCTAAATTGGCTAGATGTGACAGTGGTTTTTTTATAGAGCTTATTTGCTGCTTTTTTCCCCCCATAAAGATATATTGTGGGATTTTCTTTTTCTGAGTGGATCAACAAAATAAGTGTTCCTCCTAATTGTCAATCATGCTGGTGATATGTGAGGCCGTCCTACGTGCTCCACCCCACGTAGCCATCTTTTTCTGCGCATGCGCACCAACAGGCAAATGAAAAGGACCATCTTTTGTTTCCACGTGGATCATCTCAAAAAGTGCTCCTTCTAACTGTCAGCTAATTAAGGTGAGCTACGGTATGAGACAGTCATTGAAGCTCACCTTTCTCGCCGAGGTTCTTTGAAAATGGGCAATAAGAGAAAAAGTGCCAACGAAGTGTAACAGACGAAAAGAAAGGCCTCAGATGAGGCAGATATATCCCAGAATGCTTTGCACGGAGAGCTCTCCAAGCAAAGCATTATGGGGTTTGCTGTCATTACCCGACAGCGGCGACTTATAACAAAGATGGCGCAGGCAACGCTCAGTGGAGGTGAAGTTACGTGACCAACGGGGATCAAAAAGCAGTGATCATCTGTCCGAACGGTCAGTTAACTGACTTCGCTATAAAGCCCACTATATAGTCCCCCACTCTATATAGTGATTAAGGGATTTAGGGGTTATGGCGGATTTTTGGACACAATAAGCCTGTATGAGCTCTGAGAACAGCAACTTTTAAACAAAGGTCGCATGAGAAGAAATGTGCTTGTACACGCTCTCGCATGCATTTAATAGGCGTTCCCTCTCCAAAGCGGGTACAGGGTTGCGCATGTGGAGAGGGTTATAAGTGGAGAGGGCGGGTCTTTTAAAAATTTTGCAAAAATCCTCCAAATTACCCTTAAATGCAAAATATGTAGATATATTTATATATTTTTGGCTCAATTTCAGGTCTTAGTTTTTTTTTTTTGCGGATGGCAGGCTTTTACATTTTTTGACAATTCTTTCATTAGTCGATGGGTCCAAATTAATTTGATGTTTCGGCCCTTAATTGATCTGCCTATCTTAGCTAAAAGATGATGAAAGGAAAAGTTGCAAAAATCTTAGTGCAGCTCCACCTTCAGAAGGAGCGATGATATTACCGTTTTTGCTCAGTCGTAATTTCAAGATCTCAATCTTTTTTTCGGCCTCATATTCACGGACATCAATCAGCTTTAGGTTTAACTCAGAGAAGATCGCCACAAAGATGGACACTTCTGCTCTGGTCAGTTTAAAGATGGTCTGTTATTTGATGTCCCTCTGGAGGTTCCCTTATTCAGGCTCCGGGAGTCAATTTGAAAGCCTTGGCATAGTTTTTACACAGATCCCAAGTCGACAGCTTCATCACTAAACCATCATTCAGGATTTAAATATGGAATCTGGTAAAAACCAAAGACTGACAAGATGGATGAAAAAAGATGGAGGGAGATGGAGGCATGGGCAAGTGGATCGCTGGACAGATGGATGTCACTATGATTGGTTGTAGAAAAACATCTGGAATTATTAAGAGTAAACTGATGACCCTGCATTAATCAAGTGTGAGAGTTTGGATCAGAGAAAACCAGGTTCTAAGCCATAACTAGCAATAACCAAGCCCATTCCAACAAAACCGGCAGCAGACCTGGTTCTATAAACACTTAACCCTGAAACTCTCATCTGACTTTTAGAAAAGACAAAAATACTTTATTTCAAATGTGCAGATAAAGCAGCACCTCTGCACGCTGCATTCCTTTGCACCAGTTTCTGAATCAACTACACCAAGTTTCATGCAAAGTTAAAGATGATCCGCTCGCCCTCAACAGCAACAAGGTGATGATTAAAGATTCAGGTCAAAAGAAGACAAACTTCTGCTCCTTTTTGATATCTTTATATAGGGAGATATATTGCTCCTTTAGACAGTCAGTCTGAGATCACAGCCTACACTTACTGCTGCTGAGCTTATGTAACGCACACGCACATCCATGCACGGGACAGAGAAGTGGTGCCGGAGGAAAAAGGAAGGGGAAATAAAAGCAGGGGGGAATCATTGAAATGAAACAAAGCAGAAGAGAACAGTTGTTTTTCTGTGAAGAGATGATGAAATTATTCATTTTGGGTGAGAGAGCAAGACAGGACTGGAGCTTACAGGAGGGGGAGGCACCTAAAAGAAAAAAATATTTAAGAATGGAAGAAAGGAGTCAGAAAAATTGATGAAGGAAAAAAAAAGGTTAAAAATATGGAAGAGAGCAGAAGGAAGGGAGAGAGGATTGGAAAAGAGGATAGAGAGAAAGGAAAGATTAAATAGTTTGGAAAGGAAAACAGAACAGAACGGAGTGAAAAATAAAAACGATGAAGGAGACAACTAGGACAAAAAAAATGATATGAAGAAAGAAGATGATTAAAATTCTCAGAGAAGAAGGATAATAGGCATAAACCAAAAATATTAAGAGAGGGTAGTTTTAAAGTTAGAGCGACAGCAGGTGAGCGGCACACACACTCCCACTCCCACACACACACACTGCCGTGGGAAAACCACGGCCAACATGCAGCCCAGAAACGCAGAGCTGCAGAGACTCACCCAGAAGATCAGCGACCAGCTCTCCATGATGATAAAATGAAAAAAAAGACGAGATGGACAGAAGAACCGAGAGGAGCAGAGGAAGAGGTGATGGAGGATGGAGAAAAGAAGAGGAAGAGGAGAAGGAGGAGTATCTGGAGACGCACAGGGAGAGAGGAGAAGAAGTGGGAGAGGCTGCTAGGTTCAGCCCACACACTGCCAGCATGACACACACTCTCTGTGGCTGTGTGTGAGCGCGCGCACGCCGTCTCCCACTCCAATGCGTGGGTTAGAAAACACACCTCTCTCTTTCTCTCCCTCTTTTCCTGCCTCGCTCTTGTTTTTTTTATTTTTTTTTTGCTGTGAGCTGAGGGGTAAGTGGCGTGGGAGTGGAGGAGCGGCCCCGTCGCCATGGCAACGGTGCGACCGGGATTCAGGTTTCAGCCAGCATCAGCACCACCGGCGGCATCCGGCGAGAGCCCCCCGATTCAAAGAGGCGTTCGAGGAGTTTATTCATCCGACCAAACGAATGGCTTTCGGATTCAAAAGACTTTCTTCCACCAATCGGAGCGCGCGCGGCCAGAGTCACGTGACTCCAGGGTGTCTTCCAGATGTTAGCCCCAACCCCAGCCCTATTTGCGCTGCAGTGATGACACGCCGTACTGTACGCCTCCATTCATGTCGCTGCCTGCAGCTGCTGGTGTTCAGACTGAAGGAGCAAATCTGCTGCTTTTCAGCATCAGAAACACACAAAATTAAACCTAATTACCTAAAACATCATCAATAAGTTCATTAGTTCAGTTATTCGTTTATTACACAAACGGCAAATATTTCATCCAGTTTACAGCTTAAAAGATTATGACTTTACCCGAATAGAAACCCAACATCTCACCAATGTGAATATTCCTCAGAACGTTTTAAAAGAGAAATACTTTCTTAAAGCAGTTTATGACTAACGTTATCACAGAGAAGATTGCTATACAGAGAGGAATGGGTTCAAGAATATTAGAGAAAAGTTAGGTGGAAGGAAAAAAGCTGTGCATGTGAAATGCAGCCTTTAGAGGACTGTGCAGAACAGATGTATTCAGGAAATGAGCCACAAGTGTTGGACTTTCTGTATTTACCAAAGATGTCAGCAGCGTCTTTAGAGCTGAAGAGAAAAAGGACCAGACTACAGAAGAGCATTGCATAAACCAAAGAAAAAAAAACAGACAGCTTATCTCATAGTTACGAGATAAAATCTCGTTATTCTGAGAAAATATCTAAAAAAAAAAAGATCCTATCTATATATCTGCGTATGAATACTTGAGCCAGTAATGAAGAATCTCTCAGAAAACTGGTCTTCATTATTACTTCTTAAAAATATCTGCATCTGTTCCACTGAACCATTCTCTGTACCCAGATGTGACCTGATACGCATTCGAGCTCCGCTCCTATTTTTCAGTTGATCAACAAAGTACGCAGTTATAACCCGGGGATTACTACTTGTGGAGTAAGCATGCAGCGTTATGACCATTGCTAAAATCCATCAGCAGCTCCATTAATGCAGATTCGGTATGGTTTTAGTTTTTCATATGAATCGACATGCTGCATGAAGTTGGGACCTTTTAAAAGATTCTGAAGCCTCGTTGAGGATCTAGGATTTCTGAGAAGGTACCGGAGAACAGTTATTTGGGACACCACCGAGCCAGGTTAATTTATAACCATAAAGCATCCTGTGCTGGTTTAATTGCTCCTGCAAGAACAGAGCGATTTCCAGCAAGTCAGAGTAGAGTGGGCTTTTTGCCTGAAAAATTCTAAGGACTTACTGCGCAATGCCGTCAAACTAAAACTAAATCCATTCACATTGAAACTCAGTATTTCCAAGTGTTGCAAACCTAAAAGGAAATAAAAGCATATTAAATCCAAGAACCCACTCATTGTTCACGTTTCATGTAGCGTAGCTCGGCAATGAAAGTCCTTCCTGATCTCCTAAATATAACATATTATCTTATAATTATGAGATCTTATTTTATAATTATAAGATACCGATCTCCTAATTATGAGATAGGCTGTCAGATATATTTTTTCTTTGATGAAAGCAATACGCTTTGTACCAGACTGCTGCTCAGGGTCTAAATTATTCTTCACAGATCAAAGTAAACATTTTATTTTAAAATGGATTCCCTGCTGTAGTTCCTGGGTGAATGTTACCCTGCTACCCGCCTCAGAGCGGCTGAGGTTTTGGTCACATTTCCTTCTGGACACAATTCATGGCTCCATCATACGGAGGTCCTGAAGCATCAGCAGGCCCAGACCATACTACTACCACCACCATGTTCAGTATGTCCACTATGATCTCTGACACAACAACCTTCAATAATGTGCTGGGGTTTTTTTTTCTATTAGTGAGGAAAATATTCTTTCAAATCATGCGGATTTTTCATTTTTTAAATGTTTGTTTGTGTTCATTGATGTTCCACTCCTGAAAAGATTCTCCACATCCTCCATGTTTACCCCATATCTGGAAAAACAAATGGACAAACTGACAAGAGTCTTAATATTTTCGTCCTTCTCAGGGTTCCCACACTTTAAAACATTTAAGGGACATATGCTGTTGATGAGTATGATATCAATACATTTAATAAAAAAAAATATCAATGGTATATAGAAGGATCAGAATCCATGATTAAATGCAGAGCAGTCATAGCCTCATATTATTAGTTTTCACAGCAAATAAAACACTGATATGTCTATTGATGGAAAGATGAGGCTTTGAAAGTCTTGAAGCTCATGTTTTCCTTTCTAAAGGCCTCATTTAGGCTTCATGTGCTCACTGTGGCCATCTATTGGTGAATAAACACAATAATTGGAGTTATGTAAACAGATCAGAACATTGCATTTAGTAAAAGCATAGACGTGAAAGCCTGCAGTGTAATGTAACCAAGTCCCATTTTAATAAATTCCTTATTGTAGGAAATCTGATAGAAAAGTGCTACTGAGTAGAAAATCCTCTTCTTAACATAATTGTTAAGGTCGTGCTCCAGTTGTAGCTCAAAGCAAAGTCATTTCACTTATGGATATGGAATACTCCATGCAAGGCATTCTGGGATATATCTGCCTCATCTGAGGCCTTTCTTATCTTCTGTTACACTTCCTAGACACTTTTTCTCTTATAACCCTTGCCCATTTTCAAAGAACCTCGGCGAGAAAGGTGAGCTTCAATGACTGTCTCATACCGTAGCTCACCATAATTAGCTGACAATTAGAAGGAGCACTTATTGAGATGATCCATGTGGAAACAAAAGATTGTCCTTTTCATTTGCCTGAATGTGCGCATGCGCAGAAAAAGATGGCTAACTGGAGTGGAGCACGTAGGACGGCCTCACCTAAATGTTTGGTTTTTATTTTCCATCTATCCTCAGAAAGCCATGAGTTCTGAAATTAGCATTTTTCAAGCCTTTACTCATTGACCAGATGACTCTGGCTCCACGTTGAGTCTTCGCCCCTTCCCCTCCTTCCTCAGAGAAGACACGCGTTGCTATGCACATGTTATTGAAGCTGACTACCTACAGGACACAAGAAAAGGCAGCATCGAATCAACCCAAGGTAACGACACGCTAACAGCAGCATCCAAGTGGCAGGGCATCCTGGCGTTCCAGCATCAGAGAGTCTGGCATTTAAAGTCGTAGGGAATTGTATCGATATTTTCCCAAAAGTTAGAAAATTTCTGTGTAAAAAAAAAAATCCTGTCTTGAAATCAGTTGTTTTTTTTTTTCCGTTATCTTATGCAGGCCAGTTAGTTATATGTCAGCCTGAACACCTAAATTCGGCCAATCATATATCAACGATCATTTGTCAATCAAATTTTTTTGGTCATGGGATCTTGATTCATATGTCGCAGCTAATATATGCAACTATTGAAATAAGAATCATTTTCTTTCCCATTGAGTTCCGTCCCAGTGTTCACAGGGATGGACGTCTGTGTCTTCAGCAGGCGTAGAGCTAACAGAACTGGCAGCGTTGCGAGGCAAGGGCTCAAACATGTACGGCTGTAAGTCTTCTACACCAAACCAAGCTTCTGCCGCCCTGGCGTCCTCTTCCACAACATCTTCATCCCGCTTTCCTCCTCTAAATAAAACATGGATGACGGAGGAGACTCATCCACGACCTCCGACACTAAACTCTCCTCCTCTTGCATGTTTCCTCTGTCCATAGCGTTCCTTGACAGTGTCGTTTCTAAGTCACCAATTTAGTGCTACTTGGTCCCAATGGAATTTCCCATTGGGAACCTACTAGCACTAAGTTGCTAACTGGTTAGCAACATGCTTCCAAGAAACCGGCCACAATCAAACTAGCTTGCGAATCTTCCGCCACAAAAGTCCCGCCCTCTTGATAAACGACCAATCACAATCACTCTATTGACTTGTGTAAAGTTGTGCACCACTCGGGAGAATTCGGGAATGCAATGACTGGAACGGCCGTTTCCCTACGACTTTAAGGCCAATGTTGATAGAGATTATTCTGACATGAGGGTTCTCAAACTTTTAAACTAGTGACACGAAAAAAAAATGGTACCACAGTTGACTCATTACCTGAACTATTGCTTAAAGCTACAGTGTGTAATTTTTAGCGACATCTAATGTCCAGACTGCAGACTGCAGCAACATGAACATCTCCCCCCCACCGCTTCTCCCCCCCAACAGTACGGCGAGCATTACGGGACAAAATGTCTTCCACGACGTCCGCATCACCTACCTTCTCAAGTGATGAGGTTTGTTTACATAGACAATTTTAATACTGCCATCTATTGTTCAGTACCATCTCAGTTCATCTCTCTCAACTTGCCGTAGTTACTTTCGAGCGTAATGGGCAATCTCGCAATCGCTAGTTTGTTGGCTCTGCGCTGCCGTAGCGCAAAGATGTCTGCCTCCATGGCTGCGAGACCCGCTCTTATGTAATTATAAATAACGAATTCTAAGGCAACGCAAATATTAAGGTTAAGAGGCTGAGCTCGTAGATGATGATAAATAACATAGTTATGTATAATATATTACATTTCTGACTGTATCCCTGTAATTATTACACACTGTAGCTTTAAGTATAAAAACATATCTACGTAACCAATTAACCAAGAATGTAATCTTATGTCAAACTTGGTTAGTTTTGACAATTTT